TTTATATTAATAAATTAATATATAGTTTATATATACTATATAGTTTATATATACTAATGAACTATATAATATATAGTTTGTATATACCATATACTATATAGGTTATATATACTAATGAACTATATAATATATAGTTTTATATACTATATAGTTTATATATACTAATGAACTATAATATATAGTTTTATATACTAATGAACTATATAATGTATAGTTTATATATACCATATAGTCTATATATGTTATATAGTTTATATATACTAATAAACTATGTAATGTATAGTTTAGGGTTTAGGGTTTTGGATTTTTATATATAGTTCATATGTAAATTATACTATATAGTATATATAGTTTATATATATAATATATAGTATATAAATATAAACTATAGTATATATATATATATAGGTCATATGTAAACTATATAGTGAAGATACTATTTTTTATCCATATTATTATTATTATTATTATATATTATTATCATTATTAATATTATTATATTATTTTATTTTTTATTATTTATTATTTATTATTAAATATATTAATACATATAAATTACAAACCAATTACAATTCAACCGGCCCAGTTACAAACCAACTGAAACCGGTCCAAATCCAACCAGAAACCCTAAATATTTGGGTTTCCAGTTAGGGTTTCCTAACCCTAATCATCCTCAGCCGCCTCATCACAACCGTTGGATCTGGCACGATCCACATAGCTCCAGAGAGGAACCCTAGGGTTTGATACCCTAGGGCCACGCGGCGCCGCCCCAGCTTCCACGCGGCTGCCGACAGTCCTCTCGCCGCCTCCGCCGCTGCCACGTCCCGAATGAAGGCTCCAGAAGATCATACCAGCCGTCCACGCCATGGCTACTCGGTGAGTCACCACTGGTAGTCCGGTGACTCACCGAGAGCCCTTCTTCGGACCGGTCCGACGGCTACAACGGTGGTGGCTATAAAAGCCACCACCCCATCTGCGAAAAAAAAAAGAGAAGACAAAGAGAGACAGAGACAGAGACAGAGACAGAACCGAAAAAAAAAACAGAGAAAAGAAAAAATAAACTAATACCAACGATCTCAGTAGCAGCAAAGAACCAGAAGGGAAAAAAAGAAAAAGAAAAAGGAAGAAGAGACTTACCGAGGAAGCTCCGACTACCAGATCTCACCGGAACCTTCGAAACAACGAAGGTACTTTTGTAGATTTGCTCCGATTGGGAGCCTTTTAGGAAGAAATAACACCGGAACCGTCCTTAGGACGGTCCGATCTATATATTAGTGTAAAGAAAAATTTTTCCGGCCACCGGATGCGGTGGCCGGCGGTGATGGTCACGGCGGCAGACGGTTGCCGTCCGGTGACCGGCTTCCCTCCGGTGAGGGAAGCTAGAGAGAAGGCAGAGAGTTTTAAAACTCTCTCTGCTAGAGAGAGAAAAAAAAAGAAATGAAATGGCTGGCCCTTCGGGCCAGCCGGTTTGGACCATTTATAGTCCTTCCCGAACGACGTCGTTTCGGGAAGGACTATACGCGTAATTATGAAAAAGTTAAACCCCGTCCGCAGTCCTCCGGATTTGTAAAATTTACATTTTAGTCACTAAATTAAATTTATAATATTCTTAATTTGGTCTTCGAATTTTAATTTAATTTATTTTAGTCCTTCATATTAAAATAATATTTAGGATAAATTACAGATTTGATCCATTAATTTCTATAAATAATTTTTTAATCCCTAGTTTATATTTTAATTTATTTCATTATAAAATTCGAATTTTAGATAATTTTATTTTAGTCACTAAATCATTAAATCAGAAAATAACATATTTGATCCCTATAATTTTGATTAATTATGAATTAGACTTTTAATTTTATTTTTACTGTAATTTAGTCATTTATTTTATATGTTTTCTTTTATTTTATTGTTTTTAAATATATTGTTTTAATAGTATTTTTATTTTTATGAATGAAATATTTTTATATATTCATAAAATATATATAATAGTAATTTTTAAATATTTATCTTAATAAATCGAAGAAAAGGACAGTCTTAATACAACTGGATGTCCTATTCTGATATTTTAAAATTAAAAATTAAATAATATTATTTATCAATATCAAAGAAAAAGAGCTGTCTTAAGGCACCTAGAAGTTCTTTTTGGATATTTTTAAATAAATAAATATTTTATATATATAATTTTGAAAATAATAGAATTAAATATATTTTTGAATTTTTAAATTTTAATAATAGAGACAATTTATAATTGCAAAGTACCAATTTTGGGCGTTGTAGGGGTGCTAATCCTTCCCTAAACGTAACCGACCACGAATCCCTTTTTATTACTAAAAAGAACGAATTTTTGGTTATAAACGCAGATCAGTTTAATTTTTTTTAATTGATGTTTTCTTAAAACTCTTTTAAAAGATATTTTTTAGGTATTCGACCTACCTGACCCAAAAGGCCGATGGCGACTCTTAAATTATTTTCAAAATTATTTATTCACATCAATTTCCTCGCCCAATTTAATATTTCGTGCCCGGACGAAAACCGGTTACGACATATAGTATATAAATATCAACTATAGTATATATATATATAGGTCATATGTAAACTATATAGTTTATATATATAGTTCACATGTAAACTATAGTTTATATGTAAATATAAACTATAGTTTATATGTAAACTATAGTTAATATATAAATATCAACCTTAGTATATATATATATTTTTATATATATAGTTCATATGTAAACTATAGTTCATATATAGTATATAATATAAAAATGGTTTATAAATAGTATAAAAATAGTATATAAATATAAATTATAATATGTAGTTTATATAATTATAAAATATAAACCCTAAACCATATATACTATATATATAAACTATATAATTTATATTAATAAACTATATAATTTATACAATATACATTATTTATAAGTATACATAATATATAAATATAAATTGTATAGTTTATATATAATTCATATATAATTTATATATAAACTATGTAGTTTCTTATAGTTAAATAGTTAATGTATAAACTATAGTATATATTTTATACATGGTATATATAGTTTATACTTTATACATAATATATATATATATAAACTATATAGTTTTTATATATAATACATATACTTTATATATAAACTATATAGTTTATATTATATATATATATATATATATATATATATATTAGTTGTTTTAATTTTCTCTCTCAACTTATTACTTATTTTTATTTATTAATTGGCCCATAACTTTTTAAATGAGTATAATTTAGTACATTTTTGTATTAATTTCAACCTTAAAATTTAAAATTATTTCGATTTGATCCATTTTGTGTTGTTTAATATATTTAAATTTTTATTTGTAATTTCATATTTGTTCAATTTAGTCCTCCAAATTTTATTTGCACCTAAAATTGACTCATATTTATTACTTATTTCTATTTTTAAATTGGCCCATAACTTTTTAAATGGGTATAATTTAGTACTTTTTTGTATTAATTTCAACCTCAAAATTTAAAATTATTTCTATTTGATCCCTTTTGTGTTGTTTAAAATATTTAAAATTTTATTTGTAATTTCATATTTGTTCAATTTAGTCCTCCAAATTTTATTTGCATATGAAATTGACTCATACTTATTACTTATTTCTATTTTTAAATTGGCCCATAACTTTTTAAATGGTTATAATTTAGTACTTTTTTGTATTAATTTCAACATCACAATTTAAAATTATTTCGATTTGATCCCTCATCAATGTGTGTTATTTAATTTATTTAAATTTTTATTTTTAATTTCGTATTTGTTCAATTTAGTCCTCCAAATTTTATTTGCATATGAAATTGATCCATGCTTATTACTTAATTATATTTTTTAATTGGCCCATAACTTTTTAAATGGGTATAATTTAGTATTTTTTGTATTAATTTCAACCTCACAATTTAAAATTATTTCGATTTGATCCCTCATCAATGTGTGTTGTTTAATTTATTTAAATTTTTATTTGAAATTTCATATTTGTTCAATTTAATTCTTAAATTTGTATTTTTCATAAAATTGAACCATGATTATTTATATTCTTAGTAATTTACTCTAAATCATATACAATTACAAATTACAATTCAAAGTTCGCGAAAGACGAAAATAATTAATCAAAAATAAAAATTAACCCAATTTGAACTCAATCTGTATCTGATAGAGATCCGACCTGAATTTTATCTGCCAATGATGTGACCTGATCTGAACGAGATCCGCCTGAAGTCCATCCGAACCTGAATTAACCTACTTTTTAACTGCTTCGGACCTGAATTGTTTTGACCTGAACTCGAAACGATCCGAACTGAAAATGACCTGACCTGAACCCGATCTGAATCTGGTGTTAAATCAACCTGAAAATAACCCGAACTGATTTGACCTAACCTGAACCCGATCTGGATCTGGTGTCAAATTTACCTGACTTGACCTGTATCCGATTTTACCCGACCTGCCAGGATCCGACTGAAACTTGAACGATTACCCGATTTTACAACCCTACATTCAATAGTTTTGAGAAGTCAAATGTGTGATCGTTTTGTGTGGAAAAACGATGCCATGTCATCGGTAGCACAATAATTGTTAACAAATGAGTGACCGATTTGTTAGAAATCAATAACATTAATGACTAATTCATTGATTTTGAAATTGTAGTAGGAAAAATGAAAACTCATTCAAACATTATTGACAATTTGTATATTTTACCCTCTTTTAAATTGGTTACCATTTACTTGGAAAAAAGTGATCTCGTGAGTCGTGAAGTAATAAAATCATATTGTTCAAGTAAATAGCATAAAGTTTTAAAAAGTAACAAGGAAATTCTTTTGGACTGCATTCTCCTACACGCAAAAGCGATAAATCTATGAAGTCCATCCGGTCTCGTTTAAAACAATACAATAATATCAATCCACGTCAGCATTTTATCCATCTAAAAAAGCTTCCTTCTTGATTTGTCCCACGAATTTTTAATTTTCATTTTTTTACAATCTATTTCTGTAGTGTTCATCGAACTTATATCATTTTTTGGCTTAGTTTATTCTCTCCTTCCCATGGCTTTCTTCTCCAAAAATTCAAGAACCATAATCAACAACCTTAAATCAAAGGCGGGTTTATCGAGATTAATGAAACAGAGCCGTAATTGTTGTTCCATGTCTTGCCTGAATAACACTAATTGTTGCCGCTTCATCCCATTAACTACTATACCACAACTCAGAAACCCAGATTCATATTCCCATAAAAAAGGTTTCTTGTTCTGTTTTCAGCGATTTCAATCCACCACAAGTGAACAACAGTTTGCTTCTCTCCCTAACGGTGAACACAATCAGGTTTGAAATGTATTTTATTTTTTTACCATAAATAGTAAGGGTTGTTTCTAGAATTTCTTCAAGTTTATGTTTTTCTCTTACATGCTTCAATGATCATTTTGATACTGCAACAAAGGTTATATCTTTATGAAACCGTTAGGAAGTTCCCTTTATCTGTGGTATGCAACAATGATTTTGGCTTGATCTAGATTAACTTATATGTTTTGCTCTGGAGCCTTTCGTGTTCACTGATAGTGCAAATGGGTGTTTTGGTTGGATATTACTAAATAATTATGCTGTTTAAGTTTCTTGGATTTCGTTGGTATACAAATTATGAGAATATCACTTGCTTTGCTTCTGGAATGCCCAAACGGTAAAGGATATATTGATGTGAACAAAATGGTTGTGAGTTGTGACGGCTGTTGATGTACTACTTTTCTTATTTGGTAGGAGAGTCGCAGCCGATCGTTATATGGTAATTGGCCTATGTTTGGATTTTCTGTCTTCATGAGTGAGGAGTGGAGAGAATGGTTCTAGATCCTTCTTTTTAGTTTTGATTGAGAGGTTTTATAGTAAAATGCATAGATTATGATAGCTACTCATAGGTTGGCAGCCCTAGTAAATACGGTTAACTGTCAATTTATCTTGGCTGATAGATCACATGGGTCTGACAGAGGTCATATCATATGTCGTAGGTCGTGGTTTCTTATTTCCTGGAGATGTTCTCCCGAGGTCTCAACTGTCAAAGAGTTCTACAGAAGTCTCATGTACGGAAACCGGTTTTACGTATTAAATATGGAGATGGTACAGCAAGATACTAATCGTGTGGACAGTTTTGTACTAAAGCTTTATAAGCCCTTATAGATGACAGAGTAGGACTCTGATTTTTTACCTTTGGTTCTTGAGTGTCTTCACAACTTTGAATGGTTTTAAAGATTAGAAGATGTCGGTTTTATGGATGGAATAGAGCTTTTCGTCTTCTAACAATGACGATGATTTCTTCAATCCAATTCCAATTGACCAGTTACAAGTTATATATATATATTAATCCTCACCAACACTTTCTTTTCATTGAAGGAATTGGATTTCCCAGGAGGAAAAGTTGTACTCTCTCCCGAAATGCAGTTTTTATCCGAATCTCCCTGTGTGTATAACCACTGCTACCGAGTTCTCGATGATAATGGTCAGCTAATTAGTAACAGCAACTTTGTACAGGTAGATTCACCTGCATGAAACAATCATTTCATTTTCGTTTTCCTTCGAATGCATCATTTGGCACAAAAGTATCTTACGAAGTACTTACTATTTGCTAATTTAGGTCAGTGAGGAAATTGCTGTTAAAATGTATAGCAACATGGCCACCCTTCAAATTTTGGATACCATATTCTATGAAGCTCAAAGGCAAGGAAGAATTTCCTTCTATGTGACCACCATTGGAGAAGAGGCCATCAACATCGCATCGGCAGCAGCACTTAAATCAGATGACATTGTTTTCCCTCAGGTTAGAAGAAAATACATGGACATATATGCATCCCTTTACGATTCCTTCGAGCTTCATTTTCCAAATCTACATCTTGTTTTATTTTATAACCCTATGTTCAAAGCATACAGTTTCTCATGTACATGCTAAAAGATAAGGGCAGCATATTTCGTTAAATCATAACACTTGAGAAGTTAGATGTGGCCGTCATGGTTGAAAATTAAATGATGTGGTCTTCAGTACAGGGAGCCGGGAGTTTTACTATGGCGCGGTTTCACCCTTCAAGAATTTGCAAACCAGTGTTTTGGAAACAAAGCTGATTATGGGAAAGGCAGACAAATGCCTGTTCATTATGGATCTAACAAGCTTAACTACTTTACTGTAGCATCGACAATTGCGTATGAGATTAAACTTGTCTTTGGAGGAGTTTGCCTGATAGAACTTTCTTAAAACCTTAAGATCTAATTATGTTAATCAGGGCTATAACTATTCCCCTCTGTGTTGCAGCACACAAATTCCCCACGCAGTTGGTGCTGCGTATTCTCTGAAGATGGACAAAAAAGACGCATGTGCTGTCACTTACTTTGGCGATGGCGGCACAAGCGAGGTAAGTATGTCGATTGAGAAAAATATTTGCTTTTTTTACATTTGGAAGGGTTTCTAAAATCTATAGATTGCTTCAGATGCTTATTGTAACTATATATGCACGAGTTCGTTGCCTACCTGCCAAGTATCACCGAATTTCATCTTCTAGTGCTTTGTTTCTAACACGACAAAATAATGGTAGGGAGATTTCCATGCTGCTTTGAATTTCGCGGCCGTGACAGAGTCTCCAGTCATTTTTATCTGCCGGAACAATGGTTGGGCAATTAGTACACCCACTTCAGACCAGTTCCGAAGTAATGTTCTATCTTCCTTTTTTGATGTTCATTCTTAAATTTTAACAGTCTCAGAATCTATCAACAATTTATATATGTTTCCCAGCATATATTTTAGTTTTGCACATGGTGCAGGTGAGGGGATTGCTGTTAGAGGGCAAGCTTATGGAGTCAGGAGTATTCGTGTAGATGGTAACGATGCACTTGCCATGTACAGCGCAGTTCATGCTGCTCGTGAAATGGCGATAAACGAACACAGACCCATTTTGGTTGAAGTAAGTCTTCTTTTTTTAAGTCTTTTCCATCAGTGGCTTTTCAGCAACCAAGAGGCATATTCATAAAGCTAAAACCTAATGGATTGTTCCTTCATCTTTTCTTCTGTCGTTTCGCTCAAGGCTGTTACATATCGAGTTGGACACCACTCCACATCAGATGATTCCACCAAGTACCGTCCTGCAGATGAGATCGAATGGTGGAAAATGGCGAGAGATCCTGTAACAAGATTTAGGAAGTGGATTGAAGCAAATGGTTGGTGGGGTAGTGAGACTGAGTCACAGCTCCGAAGCAGCATTCGGAATCAGGTAAAAACACATTGTGTTGTATGCTTTTCAAGGTGCAATGTATGTGACATGATGAGCCATCACTCATCAGAACTGTGAAAGTTTGAAGGCTGTTCGAAGTCATTGCTCGGTTTTTCGTTTGTTCATGTTGGTTTTATGTCCCCTTTATCCCTTTGGTTAAATTATTGTATACTGCTTCTTCGAAACTAAATTCGGAAGTCTCTTACCAGCAGTCACTCTTCATGACAGTTATTGCAGGCAATTCAGATAGCAGAGAGAGCTGAGAAACCTCCAGTGAATGACTTATTCACGGACGTATACGATAATATTCCATCCAACCTGCACGAGCAAGAAAAATGGCTGAGGGGAACCATCAATAGACACCCCAAAGATTACCCTGCAGATGTTCCGGTTTAAGTGAACCGTATACTTGCACGCTGTAATTTATTCTCTGTATAAGCTTGAACTTGTGATCCTGCAAATTAATCAGGGTAATATGAAGCAGACCCTATATATATTAGAAAGCAAGCAAGCTTTCTTTGATCCAAATGACTTAATGGTATTATATCTACTAGATTTAAATGACAAGTAGCTTTTGCAAGGGCATATAGACAAAAAATAAATGACTTTGTAAGATATGAATGCCTGTTTTATACTCTTATTATTTCTATTTGGCATTTTGATAACTATTTTTTAGCATCCAAAACACATACGCATTATACATCAAACTTTAAGGTGAAAAATATGTCGAATTATGGATTTGGTCCCTCTACTGTACTCATATTTGATATTCTTATCAGAAATGTATGGTGGACCAACTGCATCGTGCCCCCAGAAACAATTCTACTGATCCTGATTAACAGGTTGAAGATGATGAAAACGTATAGTTTTTCATGCTGGACTTCAAAATTAAGTAGCTGTTTTTATGTAAGGATTCATATGTAACCTTGCGTTAAATGGATTTGGCCATATCAAAACAAGTCGAATTCAAGAATTGTTCTCTCTACTTGTAAGAATAATACTACACAAAATGAATGAATTAGCATTGAGAAATATAAACTAATAAAATAATAAAATCAAAATAAATGTTACTATATCGTGATAGGTCATTGTCCTAGAAGTGAATCCATCTTAACTGATATATCAAAAAAATTACGTCCCTTCATATTAACACAATGTTTTTTATTCCTTATACTTTAAAAATGAAGTTGGAACTTAATTAGATTATTCTTCTCTATTCAAAAAGGAACAGAAAATTTGTCAGACCTGATGAATTGATAACTTCTTGAGTAATTGTTAATGCACTTTCTCATTGTAGTACGAGTTTAATCTCTTATTATCATACATGCTCAAAATCTCATCAATAATCACTTATCGTTATATGTGTTATAGGGGTCTTAAATGAATCCTACTAAGATGAAAAAATGTTAAATATAAAGCGTTCCAAGAAAAAAATATATATTTCAACCTCAATTATTTTAAGTCAAACTATTAAATCTCTTCTTGTTGATGTGATTACATATTCCTTTCATGATAGTGAACTTCATAGATGTCAACTTCTGAATAGGATGGTAAATAATTTTTTTTAGAAGTCTTAAACTGCTCGTTAATAGTCATTAATAACCTTGAACATTCTTATAATGATCAATTGAGCTACAAATATGAGGAGAAACCTTATTTTTTTTTATGAACATTGTACTTAAACAATTAGATCGTTTTCATTTTTGATACAGAGCATGACCAACTTAAGGGCTAGTTTCTATTATAAATGACTCAAATTTTCTTATGACATAGCCCACGTCCAAGCATCCTAAATTGAGAAAAATACTCATTCTAAAACTTAAAGTTCTAAAATTTTCACTAAATTATACACAAGATTATTAATTTTAAAAAGTTTACTTTTAAGTAATCTCAATAATTTTACAAAAAGTTTGGAAAAACAAAAGAGATTCTCAAAATATGTTAAAAAATTGATATAAAAAAGAACATGACATTTTCATTTCGATAAATTGACAATTTTCCTACATGAATAAGAAAAATATAAATTATATTCAGTTATTAAATGTAAGCATAGATAAATTATACAATAGCTTTTAAAAAGTTATGCGTCCAAAAATTATATGTATGCAATAATCATATAATTCATAAACAATAATAAATATTTTAAGAAATAAAATATTTAAATAATATTTTTTTTAAATTTTCACTAAAATGTTAACCCATTTTTTATAAACTAACAATGAACTTGGTATAAACTAGAAAAATAAACTTTTATTATTGCCTACTAAACGATCTTTTGCACTCATATATATATATATATATATATATATATAGCTTTAACAAAGTTAGTTTTAGTTAACTCTTTTCTTACTAACTCCTTTTTAATTAATTAACTCATGTATTCTATTAGCCCCTCAAGTTGGAGAATACAAATTTTGAATGCAACTTGAAAATAATGAACATATATATATATATATATATATATATATATATATATATATATATATAACAAAATTGGTTTTAGTTAACTCCTTCTTAACTAGATCCTTTCTAATTAATTAACTCATATATTCTATTAGTCCCTTCAAATTGGAGCATATAAACTTGAGAATAATACTGAAAGGGTGTCGTTTACTCCAAGTCTGATGACTTACAGTGAACCGTTCCAAGGATTATTCAAAGCCAACATGGTATCACCAAAGTTCGTAGATCCGATCAAATTGCCCTTTCCGAAATGGCACAATGAAAACGAGACCTATGAATATCATGCAAATATTCGAGGGCATACTATTGAAAAATGACTTTCTTTAAAAAAGGTAGTAGAGGATCTGATCAAAAGAAAAGTAGTGTCATTAATGACTTAGAGGCACCATGTGTTGCTTCAAATCCACTTCCAAACCGCCAAAACCAAGGAGTTAATGTTGTTGAGGAAAACTGACGAAATAAGAGAATGATTGAAGAATTAAGAAGAACACCATTGAAATGGGTATATGAACAAATGAAGAAAAGAGGTGTATTGAGTCCTATAAAGAAGTGTGTAGCTGAGAAATCAAATAGCTTTTGTGAATACCATTGCGAATATGGTCATCAAATCTAAGATTGTCAAGATTTTAAGTAGATGGTCCAAGAGTTGATGGACAAACAAAACTTGCAATTCTTCGAGGAATGGACAATAAAGAATGAAGGATATATTTGTGCTTCTAAAGAAAGTTCAAAAGAGGTCGAAGGAAAATTAAGAAAACCAATTTTGGTTATATCAACACCAAACTACGAGGCAAGCAAAGGAAGTACCACATCCAAAGTTGTGATCAAGACACCGAAGCCTTTTGCCTACAAAAGTGATAAAAGTGTCCCTTGGAATAATATGTGCCAAATTAACACTCCTGAGAACTTCACCAGGAGTGGGAGATGCTACACCCTTGGCACAACTGAAAAATAAGATTTGTTTTATTCGATGAGCTTAAGGACTGGTTGAACGAACCTGTCAAGATTGAGGAAACTGAAGAATTTCTAAAATTTTTGAAACACAGCGAGTACAATATTGTAGAACAACTCCATAGGACTCCGGCACAAATTTTAATTTTATTTATCTTTTCTATTGCATTCTGAGGTACATCGAAATACACTGATAAAGGTTTTGAACGAAACCTTTGTAGGAAAAGACATACCATTGGAACGTGTGGACAGAATGGTGAATCACATCAATACAAATAATTCTATCTATTTTTATGATTACGAGATAGCCAAGGAAAGTAAAGGTAGATGGAAGGCATTACACATTACTATCCACTACAAAGGAGTTATATTTCTGGGGTATTAGTTGACAATGGATCAACCCTAAATACCATGCCATTTACCACACTAAATAGGCTCCCAGTTGATACCACCCAAATAAGGGTTTGTGGCAATGTCGTGCGAGAATTTGATGGGACTGAGTGAAACATCATGGGAAAAATGATAATACCTCTCAAAATTGGCCCTGTAATGTTCGAGGTGGATTTTGTTTTCATGAACATCCATTCGAGCTATAATTTCTTGCTCGGGGAGGCTGTGGATTGACATGGCTAGGGTAATTCCTTCTTCCCTTCACCAAAAGCTTCTATTTATCACTAATGGAACTCTAGTGACCATCAAGGCAGAAGAAGATCTTATTGCTTCTATCACTACTGATGCACCATATGTAGGGGTAGATGATAATGTACCAGAGTCATCAATCTAGTCATTGGAATTTGTCAACGCCACTTTCATACCTGAAGGAAAAAGAATTCCCTCACCCCAACTATCAAAAAACAAAAAAATGTAATTGAAGGAGACGCTAGCTCGATGAGCAAAAATTGGGAAAAGTTTAGGCAAGAGATTGCAAGGCATCACTGAAGGGTTAGCCCCAGTTCCCAAGAGGAATTACTTTGGTATCTAATATAGGCCGACCTATCACAATAGAGTCAATGATACACAAAAGCTCAGGGAAAGAAGAAAGGCAAGAGCACAAGGAGAAGACGTTGTTTGGGGGCCTATGGTCGTACCAGCACTCTCTAAGACTTTTGTATCTGGAGGATTTATCACTGACATACTAAAGCAACCGTGGGGTGGTGAAGAAGCGACATTAATTGAAGCTTTGACGGGAAGCTTGAGCATTAATGCCATCACAGATGATTTTATTGAAGAATGCTCATTGGCATCGATTCACCCGTGCCTTCCTGGTTATATTTTGAACAACTACACTGTTGAAGAACTCCTCGTATTCTATAAGCACTCTTCAAAGTAATGCATAATAACAAACATGTCTCTTTTTTACCCAAATATAGTAGGGTTCTTTTTTTAAAGACATTTGTTTTACGTCCTTACTTTAATGAAATGACGCATTCTCTTCATTTTCTCCATAGAAAATATCTTATTTCTTGATTTCTTTATCTATTTATAATAGTTATTTTTTGAAAATATTAAACAATGTTTGTAATACCCCAAATATTAGGTCAGGGGCTTTATTGAAAAAGATTTGAAATTTGAAGATTTATTTGAATAAATGGTAAAAGATGAGGAAATGATTTGGAACAATGTTTAAGACTAATTTGTAACAATAGATGAATAAATAGGGCATTTTGGTCGTTTAAAAAATTATTTTTTCTTTAATAAGGTATTAAAGTAAGGGAAAGGGGAAGATAAGATAGCCAAAAAGCTATTTTTCTTTTATTCTTTCCCGTGGAAAAAACTCTCCCCCATAGAAAATGTAAGGTTTTATTTGATTAATTTATTCTTTCATTTTTGGTAAGGTATTAAACTAAGAGATGAATGAAATATTGGAGATTTAAGGAAATGAGTTTTGAAATGATATGTTAAGATATGAGTGTTTATTGATGTTTACTAGTATATTTGACTTGTCAAAGTAGTAAATGGGAGATTAAAAGCATTGGATGGGTTTAAAAACAAGTTAGAAAAATTGGAGTGATTCCTAGATTTAAATGTTCTAGGGATATTTGAGTTATTTTAAAAAGCTAAATAAAGGAAAATGTGTAGAGATAAGTAAAGAAGAGTTTAATAGTATTA